GTGTGGGGGGGGTGGGGGGGGGGGGCATTTTCTGGAAAGAGACTTGTCTGGACACGTCACTATATGCGATAAACAGCAGCGGAAATATTTTCTTCTCTCTCCTCTGAGTCTGAGGTAACATCTTCATACCGGACACAACTAACTTCAGCTGTCAGCTCCACAGTTGTTACGAACAGCACATGGCATATACATATTTTTTTTTGGAAATTTTACAAAAACGCTGTCTCCCATGAGGACAATTTCCCTGAACTGGAATGTTTTTGCTTTGTCTCTCCGTCACTTAATTTTTTCAAATCAAATCTTTCTGTGTCAAAATTTTGTTTAGTTCGTCTACTTACTGAAAGCCGCTCCCTCACTTTTGCTACCACCAGATGATGATCAGTGTCGCAATCTGCTCCTCTGAATGATCTCACATCAATTACATTTGTCTGCCTTCTCTTCTCTACTAAAACATGATCTATTTGATTGTGTGTTCTGCCATCTGGGGAAGTCCAAGTGTATTTATGAACATCACGGTGTGGAAATTTTGTACTTTTTACAATTAAATCTTTTGACGTAGCGAAGGTCACTGCTCTGACGCCATTATCATTACTAAGTGCATGGAGACTCTCGCTGCCTATTGTGGGTTTGAAGATATCCTCCCTCCCAATTTTTGCATTGAAATCTCCTAGCAGAATTTTCATTTGACACTTGCCAAATGTATCAAATACTGATTCCAATTCTTCATAAAAGCTATCCTTGTTATCATTGCTTTTGTCCTCAGTTGGGGCATGAACATTAAGGACAATGATGTCTCACCAACGTCCTTCCAAAATTATGTAAGACAACCTGTCACTAATAAATTCTACTGTCTTCACTGCTGCCCTAATTCTGCTATGAACAAAAAACCCGTCCCTAACTGATGACTGTCATTCCCCTCTCCATAGAAAAATGTGAAATTGTCCACTGGGATAGTGCCCTCCCCTCCTATCACACCTGCACTGCCACTAAATCTAACTTATAATTCTCTAATTCTGTACTTACTGATTTCAATGCCCCAGCCTTATAGAGACTCCTAATATTCCAAGTTCCAAATCTCATATCCTTTTTCAATTACCATGATCATGCCAAAGAGTCCGTCCTGTTCCGAGGCTTAGTTTATGTGTTCATAACAATGCTTTTATTATGGCGAAAGGTTGTTAACCTTATGCCCAACCCCCAAGCTGGAGGACCACCCCTCGATTGCTGTCCACGACTGCTTATTCAATATATTCGCAGCTAACCTGGAGGCCGTCCCTCTATCCGCAACCTGAGGATGTGCCATGCGGTGGAACAAGGGGGCCCCCACCATACATGGAAAAGTGTAATACAGTCCCTCAAATCAAAAAACTCATCGGGTTTTGATGAAATAACAAGTAAAATTTTAAAAGCTTGTTCAGCTTTAATTGGTTGTCCATTAACCCACATTTGTAATCACTCATTATACACAGGCATTTTCCCAGACCACCTTAAAATATCAGTAGTACGACCGCTGTACAAGAAAGGGGACAAAACTAGTATGACAAATTACAGGTCAATTTCACTTTTAACTACTTTTTCTAAAGTGCTTGAGAAGATTATGTACAATAGATTAAGTCATCATATGCATACTAACAACATATTGGTCCTGGAACAATTTGGCTTCAGGAAAGGTGTATCCACTGAAGATGCGGCATTCAAACTAACACACAATGTGCTTAAATGTATTAACCAAAAAATGCATGTTGGAGGAATTTTCTGTGATTTAGCAAGAGCTTATGACTGTGTAAATCATGAAATTTTGTTGGATAAATTGCTTTTTATAATATACATAAATGACCTTCCTCCAACAATAAAAACAATAAATAATTTAACAGAACCCATAATATTTGCTGATGACACAAGTGTCAGTATTTCTAATAAAAATTTTGACGATATCTGTTCAACATCAAACATAGTTGTGTCTGATATGAGTAAGTGGTTTACTGCTAACAAGCTGGCCCTAAATCTAGATAAAACGAATATAATTAAATGTACATATAACAAATAACTCACCACAATATGCCTTAAGTATTAGCTATAATGGGATGTAATATACAAGTGTCATTAAATACAAAATTCCTGGGTTTTCAAATTGATAATCACCTAAATTGGACATATCGTATTGATAAACTGATACCTAAGTTAAGTGGAACATGTTACATAGTTTGATCTCTGTTGCATGTCAGCAATACTGACACACTGAGATCAGTATATTTTGCCTATTTTCATGCTATATTGAAGTATGGAATAATTTTGGGGGTAATTCATCAATCAGTAAAAAGATATTCACTTTAAAAAAGAAAATTATTTGATTAACAAAGAAATTCATGGAGAAATCTATTTAAGAGGTTAGAGATCTTAGCTCTTCCATGTGAATACATATTCTCTTTAGTGAACTTTATTGTAAATAAGTAAGAACTCTTTCAAACTAATTCTGCTGTACACAATGTCAACACAAGGGAAAGAAATCAGCTTCATAGACTAGTTGCCCTCTCATGCTGTCAGAAAAGTGCATGTTATGCAGGAATCAAAATTTTGAACAGTCTACCTTCAAGTCTCACCCGTCTTGTAAATAAGAAGAAGCAATTTAAGGTAGCATTAAAAAGATACTTAATTACACACTCCTTTTACTCTGTCAGTGAATTTATGTTGTTTACAAATAAGTGATAAATTATCTTGTGTGTGTAATGGGTAGATCTAGTTGTAACTTATCATTTCTTTAGGTGAACCCTTTGTTTGTTTTATGTGAAATTTATATAATAGTATGAATTGTACTTTATAATATGTATTACAGTATATTATTATTATGACTTTTTCCACATCCTATTGTCATCTGACTATCTTATGGATCCATGGAATGTAATAAAATATGTATGTATGTATGTGCAGACTTCTGTTATATATTTTCAGCTGCATGAATGTCTCATGTTTTTATCACTTCTAATACTGCACTATAACAGAAGTGGTATAGTTTTTTATTCCTCTGATCACATTTTGTTTTCATATTTTTCAGTTGGATGCAGTAGAATTAGATAAAGAAATTGTCAGCATTCTAAAAAACCAAGTTATAAATGTTACTAAATTTATGACAATTGGATTTCTCAGTAGATGGGATCCAGAAGTTGATGTATTATTGAGATTAATTATTTGGAAGGTTTGTATAAGATCCAGCTGAATTGCTGTTTCAAGTAGAAGTAGTAAAAATTTAATTTTCTTTTATACCTCTGAGGTATAGATATATATTCTCACCAATACTATTCATTTTTCTTTACAGCTTTCTGTGAATAAAATATGTGGTACCTTTGGTCAGCAGTTGTTGAGTGTCAGATATGGAAGAGAATTTAACAAAAATAAAGCATACCTTCTTGCTGTTCTAACAATTGGATCTAAGTATTTGAAGCAGCGTTCTCATGAAATAGCAAGTGCTACAAGAAATCCTAGTATGTCTGAGAAGGTAAGTATTCAATAAAATCTTCTTGGGCGATCAGCCGCATCAAATGGTTAAACAATGAAACCGACGTTTCAGGGACTGTCTGTTCCCATCATCGGGGTTCTGATGGGGACAGATAGTCCCTGAAACATCAGTTTTATTGTTTAACCATTTGACGTGGCTGATCGCCCGAGAAGATTTCATTGAGTTATGTCACCGTGAAAGCTCCAAAGGTAAGTATTATCTCTGTATTGGGACATTCCACAGAAAATCAACACAGCTGAAAGAAAAATTTATATCCCACAATCTCAAACTGTGATTATGTTTGGTATATAGATGTTCTAAAAAAGCTGTATACACACTGCTGACATATGTAATATACATTTCTTTGTCACTGTAGGTGGACTAGTGGTTAGTGTGCTCGCCACTGGATCCATGGTTTGCGGGTTCAAACCCTGCCGAGATCAATGGATTTTTAAGGATAATAAAAATCCATAGCACAACTTCCTTCAGAGGGGAAATAAAGCCGGCGGTCCCATGTCATAAATTCACTGCATGTAAAAGGACCATAAAAGCATGAAACGAGATAAAAGCTGAGCAAAACTCAGCAGCCATTTCTCACCCATGTCTCCCCTGATTTTCTGCTAGATGACTGTTGCAGACAAATCAGGATTGCATAGAAATTGTGCAAAGGCAGTGGGCTTGTCACTCACTGCTCATAAATACACACTTCAAATACAAAGAAACCTCCCACATGGGAGGAGGCCAAGGCTTGACTTGAGGTTGTTGCACCATTAAAAAAAAAGTATACTCTGCCCCCGTCGGGGATTGAACCCCGGTCGTCCAGCCCGTAGCTAGTCACTATACTGACTGAGCTATCCCGGCTCATGTATATACATATACACACACACAATTGAAATAGAGGTAATTATATTACATTAGAAGTCTAATGGAACAGTGGTAAATATCCTGCACAATAGTATCATGTCTTTTGGAAATGAGTGATTAATATTTTTTGTCAATTTGTATCTCCATTGCTACTACCTGTCCTCTTGCTGCTGATATCATCATATAGCAATAGAACTGTACATAAATTACACATGTATCATGAAAGAATATTTTCATAAAACTAGTTTTCAGAGATTCACTGATATAATAACTTCCATCTACTAAGTGTGCCTGCCATCTTAAGTATTGCCTAGTTTCTTGCTATCACTGTACCATTTTCCTGATATTCATTCAGTGTACAATGCATAGTATATACTTGCACACCAGATTGACGTCTGTAAATGAAGTGTGCCATTTTAATGTAATCTGTAAGGGTAAACTTGCTTGTTCTTGCTATAATGTATTTTGTTTTATTGTTTACAGGTAAAATTACTGTTTCAGTGGGCAGATAAAACTATTCAAGTGGCAAGTTTGGTAAATTTATTGATGTTTCTGTCAGAAGGCAAACACCCAACTTTAGCAGATCGAATTCTTGGACTTCAACCTGTTTCTTTAGCACCTTCAGGTCAGAGTCGTACTGTGGGTTATAGTTATATGACACGAGAACTTCTGTGGCATGGATTCATTGTAAGTACTGTATGAAATAGATTTTTGGTCTCTGAGTGTTTTGGATGTGCAGTGTATTTCAGATAGCTTGTTAAGTTGTTTCCTCATTCCAGTTCATAAAATGTGGCTGTTCAGTTTGTTTCCCACTACCTTACATCATAAATGTTGGATGTCCCCATGAGTAATGTACTGATGCTTACTAAGGAGTTTTGCTCCAACCTGCTGGTTGCAGTCCAACTGCTATTAGTAGAAGGAGGGGGAACATAAAGATTTAGTCAACAACATGGATTGTTTGCTGCACAGTAACACAGTGCCTCACCTTAACGAAAGTCACATCAGTGATTTAATCCAACATATTTTGAACGAGAATATGATGGGTTGTTTTGTTAGAGGGCTGTTTGTTTCTTCACCCATACCTGCACTTATTGACAGAGCTCAACTACTTAGCTACAGCATCGCATAATTTTTATCTAAAAACTTTGTGCCATTCTTGATTGTCTAATCTCAGAGGAAGTATTTTTCTGGATAGAAACTACATCAATGTTATATAACACATCAATAAATGTTGATACAATGAAAAACGAAGAAATGATAAGAAAATTAAGAAATTAAAAATTAGTAATTGAATTAAGAGTTTATAACATACACCTGATGACGGCTCTATGAAAGCCGAAACATGTCGAGAATGTTCCATATGTAAATCGAGTACTCGATACGGAACAAAGGATAATATTTTAACCATCTAATTATCTTATATTACTTTATTGTGATTGACGGACAATTTTAATATATTTTAATACTATTTAAATAAAATCACAATATGACGCACCTACAATATCTTAGAAACTTATATGCTTTTCCTGTATTCTGTTTTTGTTGTTGTTGTTGTTGTTGTTTTGTTTATTATTTAATTACACTGTTTTAAGCTGCATGAATTACTGACAAGTGGAAAGTAGCAGGATCATTATGAAACATGAGTGCAAAAACAGTCATTTTTTAAAGTAGGCCTGCTGTCTTGATTTGGCATGGATAAACTGGAGAAATTGTTGTGAAGTTCCAGTAAGGCCTCATTGAAGACACTGTACAAGCACTTCCAAAAGATTTAAAAAAAAATGAATTCATGTAGAGTAGGATTTTTCTCCATTCAGCTAAATTTATCTAGTATTCCATATTTTTGACATAACCATATTCACTTTAATTTAAAATAATTTAAAATGACATCTCTTTTATATTTCAGGAGCTTCTTATTTTTGCTGTGCCACTTGTCAATTACCACGCTTTGAAACGAAGAGCAAGTAATTTATTTTTATGGCGAAAGAAAGACAATGACAATAGAGGTGTAACTTTTACTAAATGTGCAGAATGTAATGAGACACCAGTTCTTCCACATCATATGGGATGTAGTCATATATTTTGCTTCTACTGCATTAAGGTAAGAATTTCTTTCTTTGTGCATGTAACTGTTTTTCACACATTTACTTTTCTGTCTGTTCTTTGCTTGTTTTGCCATATGTATGTGGTAGCTTCAGATGTTTTGACACAGGGGTCATATCTCAGATCTGGCAGCAATAAGAAGTCCATAGAATCAACTATATTCCAGATATGGTTGTTCAGCATCCACACACTTATGTCACCAGGCCACTGTAAACACGTTCATTTAACGGTGTGTGATATTTTTGTGGTGCTTTGTTCATACTTCCATGTCCAACTTGGTTAGATAACTTATTCTGAGAAGACAGAAAAGTCTGTCAGAATGTGCTTTGAGCACACAGTATTATCTTCTGTTGCTAAATGGTGCATACAGATACCTTTTGCATTTTGATGAACCTTCTAGTAATTTCTTTACTATGTAATATTGAAAAATTTTAGTATACTGCAAAAATAAAATTGAGGTTGTCAGACCAGTTCAGTAACAAAAATGCACATTTTAAAGACCAGAACTGTCCAGTGATTGAGGTTAGGTTTCTAAAGGACCCAACAGAACAGGTGCCCCCCTTCTGTACACCTGAGGATGAAGACAGGTGTGGTTTTAGAATACCAGATGATTGATAAAGTTGATAAACTCAGTAATCCAGACTTTCATCATCATCATCCTTTTCAAGTGATCTTCATGTCTGTCAATAACAATGGTGGCATCAAGATGGAGGATTGTTAATTTCTGGGAATTATGCATATAATGCCTGCTTCCTTTGCCTGTGACAGTCTTTAAGTGAAATCTGTAGCAGTTATATTGATAACCTTATTACTAATCCTCATGTAGTTGTCACATTGTTTGTGCATCAGCATTTTGGCATGTTGGGCTGGTATAGGTACGCATCTTCAGATCTTCACTGTACATCATGTGACAAATGCTAACTCAAATTCTGACATACGCTATATTTGTCTACTTTGTGGGTGTGAGTGTACTGCCTCCTTCATCCATCTCACATTGTCCTTATTGTGTGATGATGCAGGTTGTCTGGCCATCTGGTGATTCACAACTATTTTGTGTGTATGATACAACTGAGACACTTTGAATCAGAACATGGCTTGTTTGCCATACATCATCCAAAAAATCTTCATTGTTTCTGGTGTCAAAATTTGGTGTTTGCCAACTACCACGTTGGCTTTCCTCCCTTCAGAACCTCTGCACTGGTCTAAAGGCAGGTGATTACAGTAACGTTTGTCCTTAAACTTTTTGACATGCTATGTTTACTTACTGTAATTTTAAATCACTCCATTGTAAGTAATTTATTTAGGATGAATGTCCAACACTTTGAAATTTTGTTGTGCAGTGACACATAGCATTTTAAAGATTCTTATGCTGATCTTCATTAAAGCACTTGGTATAGAAATATAATGGTCACAATGTGTGTTGTGCATTAAGCAACTAAGAGCCCATTGGTGATTTGATTAACTGCAACCATTGTAATAACATTGTGGTCGAGTAGAGTTACATTCAGAAATGAAGATTTGGAATAAGGCATAGGTCGAAGGAAAACCGAAAGAAGACAATAGTGATATGGTATGTAAAACATGACACAATTACTACTTCAAAAACCTGCTGTATTATGAAATAAATATTGATGTTTTCAAGTAAACTGCAACAGGGTGTTTAGGAGAATATTTTGACCTGAGAGGGATGAAGTAACAGGAGGTTGGAGAAATTTGCATGAGAAGCTTCATAATTTGTACTTTTCACCACATATGAATATATGAATGATGAAAGAGGCATGTAGCTTGCATGGAGGATATGAGAAATGCACACAAAATTATGTTTTGAGAGCCTGAAGGGAAGGGACTACTTGGAAAACTGGGCATAGATTTGAGGATAATATTAAAATGGATCTTAGGAGAAATAGGATTTAGGACTGTAGATTGGATTCTTGTAGCTCAGGATAGGGACTGGTGGCAGGCTCCTATGAACACAGCAATGAATGTTTGGGTCACATAGAAGCATGAACAATGATAAGTCTCTCATCTTTTGATGTTGGCGCCAACAAACCGGAATCACTATTGTCAGTCCAATTCTTTGGTCTGGTATGGCTGCCATGAATGTGTCTCATCTTCAAATATGATTGGATGTCCATTGGCTTTATACTTTCTTAGTGCAGTCAGGTACGATACGCGCATAGATCATATATATCGTGCCTTTCAGTGAGCACCCTTCTGATTGTTCTGGTCTTCTTCCACCTAAAACCAAGGTCCCTAACAATTCTTCTGAGACTTCAACAACTTCCTTTAAAATCAATGCTCTCTTAGAGCTTTACAGGTAATTTAGCAATTGTCAGAACAGTTCCCTCCTGTGCATAGAAATTATGGATGGTGCGCCAAACAACATATATATCAAAGTCATCTATTTCAGTTATTAGCTTAGGGATGTCGTGCTTCTTGCCAGGCGTTCCAAATGAAGTGCCTTGTTCCTCGTATTCTTCTCGCTCTTTCTGGATCCTTCTAATTGTTCTTTCAGACACTCCAATAACTTCTGACACTCTTTTCTGCACTTTTTGTATTTCTTTATAAAGTATACTGGCGAAGTCACTTTATCTTTACTTCTTGCCTCTCTTTTCATAAAATTTCAAATGTTCGTGACAATTTCTCGGCTCTGACTGCGTAATGTTTTGGAACCTAACTTGGAACGAACAGGTGGTATGTTGTTAACTCAGCACAGTCACAAGACAACGATATTAGGCTTCCACACTGCTGCACTGACACAGACTGTACTGACTGACAGAAACAAGTGGCAATTTTAATTGCTTCCTTTCCTCCCCACTCTACTTTTTATCTTCTTTGAGCGGTCCGCTTACTGGGCTCTCCCTACAAGGTCAGCGGCCTTAATCGCTGAATCGAGTTATAGCACTGTGTAGTCTGGTATAAGTTTTCCAGTGTTTCTGAAATGCTGGTTGCTATATTAAGCATAGATATGGATATTGTTATTCATTCATCTTTGTTACATGTAATTGTTTTGTAATTATAATGATAGTTTGTATCTGATATGTTCTTTGATGACAGGCAAACCACCTTGCAGATGAAAAGTATGAATGCCCACTTTGTGGATTTACTGCTGATGATGCTACATCTGTTATACCTCTTCATTTGTAAAACTGAGCAATAAATGGTGATTGGTTGAGTACATATATCCTGTTTTAGAAATATAATTTAAAATTTATAAGTATATTTGAACGATGACCAGATTAATGAGAGAAATCGGAAGTGTATAAAACCCCAACTACATGGAAATTGGGCTGTTAGGCCATGTTATGTCCCTTTAAGTTGTAGGTTTCCACATCCTTCTCCTGACCTCACAGATTGTATATTGAAAATTTGATATTTTTCCTTTTATTTTGATACTGTATCAATTTGTAACACTTTTTCTGCTATCATATGATACTTACAGATCTCATAATCTGTTAATCCAGAGTTTGACTGTATATAGTGTCAGTGATGACAGTGAGGTGGAACATCAGTGGGCCCAACTGAGTAGGAACCTGAAGACGGAGATAGAGCCCCATCTCCGAAACGTCGTTTCACGTTTTTTACGTTTTATTACTAGACGATGGATAATATCCAAGTAAATTTTTATTCAATTGACTCTTCACCATCGTCAAGAAGTTTTAGATTTGATATCATATTTATTGTCTTTTGGGCTTTAAGAACCCTTGGTAAATGTTCCCACTGTCATAATAGGAGCATTGTGATAACAGACCATACAGTATACAGATATTTACATACATATATGTATATACAGTGACAGTTGAGGGGTTGAGAACCAAGAATGTGTATGTAACCTTTTTTTTAAAAAAATGTTGTGAACCTCACAGTTTGTTTGTTTGGTGGCAAAAAAATGGAACTGTATTTCCAGCCACTGCTGCTGTCTGATGGAATAGTGTGTGTTCAGAACAAGAATTGGAAGAATGGGTAGTGAAGATGTAATCAAAAGTAAGTACACTGCAGTTCTGTTTTATTCCTAGTGGGTGAAGCTCAGTCATATGTATGCACATGAACTCTTTATGAGTCCCTTTAATACACTTTTTGAACAAACACGAATATAATTGATATCTAATCCTTTAAATATTGGGACAGCGTAATTAAAAGATGGCCTATTAAAGAAGCCAGGTGTTATCCGGCATTAGCGACAATGGGGCCAGTTCCATCACCACGAATCTTCCGAATTTTAACTGCAGAAGAATATGATATTCATTGAAGTTTACATCACCCCAAAAGAAGACAGCTTCAAATGAAACTGCGTGTCATTCAGGTCAATGTCCGTTGCAACTCATCTCTTATCCAAAGGAAGAAGAAAGGACAGCATCTGGTACGTGTACCAGAAGTGAGAAATTCATATGAAAATTAATACTTAAAATCTGAAGAGAATAATTGACTGGGAGATATTAACATATGACAATATCAATACGAATACGTAATCTGCGTAAATCAGAGAGAGGACTCTGGTTTATTGACAGCTGCAGCGGAAGAAGTCAACTGCGAAGACATTAATACTAATACAGGCTTACTATTCAATAATTTTTTCTCCTTGACTGTAAACAGTTGTTAAAAATGGTAGGTATGTGTATTGAATTGTCAGGCAAATGTGGTTCTTGCTGAAGGAAAGTCAAAGGTGTGATGTGTGATGATTGTGACTGGTGGTTCCATTGGGAATGTGCCAATACCACTAAGAGTGATGCAGATGCTGACAAGCCTTGGTATTGTATTGTGTGTCAGCAAGTTAGGAAGTGTAAGGTACAGGAGGAAACCATTTTGAGTCTGCAGAGGGAGCTGGCTTTGGCTCATAATGAGATTGCTTTTTTGAAAACTGCAAAAAACTCCAGTTGTAGTTGTATCAGTAACTGTTCATCCTCTTTGTGGACTGATGTTAAAGCCAGAGGCCAACGCAGAATCAAAAGTCTTTCCTCCATAAATGATCAACATGTGAATGTAAAACTGACCAACAAGTTTGAGTCTCTAAATATGTTGGAGCCAAAAATTGTTGCTCAGTTGAAGAAAAGTAAGAAGGTTCTGCTTCTAGGCAGTAGCCATGGTAGAGGGTTGAGTGACTGGCTTCACACAGACATGGGGTCTGAGTAGGCCCTTTTTAGATTAACAGCAGGATTATGAGAATGTTTACAACCTTTAATACCAAAAAGAGAAAACATGTTTATATGCAGATTAACAATAACAAAGCACATATTTACTGATTAAGATGTTTATTAAGTGTATTAATTTTTATTAAATCAATAACTGCAAATCTTCTGTTCATTAAGAGAAACTAAATTATGACTTAAAGCAAATTCTGTCAAGCAGCTAATAAAAAATAAATGACACATCTTATTTAACAGCTACACATTAAAAATGTATGCTGGTGCTCTGAAGTTTGAGGTGGGCTCTTCAGAAACCACCTCGGAGGCGAAGAACCAAGTGCAGGGTTGATTCTTTATGGATGTTGTAATCTGATAAGGTGCGGCCATCCTCCAATTGCTTGCCAGCAAAAATTAAACGTTGTTGATGAGGAGGAATTCCTTCCTTGTCCTGAATTTTTCGTTTCAAGTTTTCAACGGTGTCAGATGGTTCAACTTCAAGAGTAATGGTTTTTCCAGTGAGAGTCTTCACAAAGACTTGCATCCTGTCAATACAAAATTCACTACTTGTACAACTTCTCCAAAGGTATAAAAACACATATGTAAGTACAGTAATCCCTTGTGCAGAACCCTCAAGAATGGATCATTATGTAAATTTGTTAAGGATAAATTAAACATACACTAGTAAGTCTCCCATTGATACCAAGATATTTAAATTTTTAGAGGTATAAAAAAGTTGACTGTGGAACCATGGTTCCGGAGAATTTGACGTAAATACGTCTCTGTATTTAAATTACTAGAGCAACGCGCTCCTTTCGGAGAGCTTTCAAGTGATTGAGTAAGAAACTAAACTAACCCCCCCAAATGGGGGGTTAAAACACTTGACCAACCCCTCCTTCGGGGGAATGTAATGTTATCTTCAATGTCATCCATCTTGTTATGAAAGCAGATTGTTGGCGGCAGTAATATAACACAACAATGCCGAGTAAACATAACGTTTCCTAGGTAACATAACAATGCATGCAAGATAACCATTGTTGTAGGTCCATATTTACAAATTGTTGATATTTCCTAGGTAACCATCTTACACATTTTACTTTCACTTTTTTTCCGAATGACCCTTCCGTATAGGCGTATTTACGTCAAAAGCTGACAGTGGAATCTGACTTAAATACGTCTCTGTAATGTAATGTAATAATTCTTATATAAGGTAAGTACTTGTGATATTCTAAAACGTTTTAACCAGCAAAAATTTTCTACTCTACGACGCACTTCTTCTACAGCCGATTCACAGCTCAGCTCTTCCGCAACAACGAAAGCGGATTGTTGACGGCAGTAATGTAACACAACAATGCCGAGTAAACAGATGGCACAATGCAAGCTGACCATTGTTGTCGGTCCACATTTACACATTGTTGATATGGATCTTACACGTTTTCCTTTCACTTTTTTGCCGAATGATCCTTCCATATAGACGTATTTACGTCAAAAGTAAAGCCTTACCTACAATGTTTGGAAATTACACACCTACTAAAACCATAATCATGAACTTAACGTGGTAGCAACATAAGCAAGAATTAGGCGAAGGGTGAGGTGAAAAACAGATGTAGGAATGTCAAAGAGATTAGGAGAGAACACACGTGCATTTTCACATGTACAGTTCTATAACATGTTTGCAAGGCTACGTAAATTCAAATTTTCCACTTACAGGAAATGATTGTATGCACTTATTTTTGAATGTATATGAAAATTTTCGTTGGACAGTGGTGTAAGTTTATACTCTTAACTTACTGCATTTTGCAGAAAAATTTACTGAATTTGTCAAGGTGTCACAATATAGCACAGCAGCAAGAACTGTAATTTGGGAAAGAAAGAGGCCCATGGTGAAAGAATCATACCAGTATAATCATTGTATCTGTAGAACATGACATGAGGGATGAACCTCCGTCTTTAGGACGAAAGTATAGGAATTTTTAGGTTATGTAACTAGTCTTGCGTCTCAACTAATTAAGTAACTATACTGTGCAGAGATCTCGAAAAGCAATGCTTTGTTACTCAAGAAATTTCCAGCCTTTTATGAAACAATAAAAGCACTACCTGTAATATGTGTGCTCACTGTTGATTTCATAGGAGCCCCCAAGGACCCCTCCCCTGAGCCAGTTTAATCTAGTACGCACCCTCCGATCTGTTTTGGTTTATAATACTGACCCATCAATGCCTAAGTCTTTTTGGATCTCCTACACTATTCCTATCCATACCATTTTAACAATGTTACTGTACTTATGTTGTTGGTGCTTGTATGGATAAAATAAATTTTCAAAGAAACATAAAACTCTACAAAAGACCCCATCATCATACGCTGCTAACACCATACAAAATGTAAGAATTAATTAGTCTTATACATGAGGTGGTACGTCTCCAATCATCATAAACACGTTCTTTAGAGTCGGATACTACCTAGTTTCAAGTCGTACTATGGACCGAATAAAATTGACAAAGTTGGGGTTCCCATTTTTCGCGTTTTTAGAACGTGAAACGCACAAATCTGGAACTTCTTTTATAAGCGTCAAGCGACTTCATAGTGCGTCGGAGTGTGTCCCTAGCAGCTCATATATGCGTGTAGGCAGCAGCTTATCCGAAACACTCAGTGTATTTGAAGTACAACAAATTCGTGCTGCAGAAAACGGTTCAATAGCAAATCTACCTCAAATTGTTTAATATTCATGACAGCACAAATAAAATCAGACAATCGGGCGTTGCCACTAACATGACATAAATATAACCAGCTGCTATCCTCCCTTAAGGAGGAAGGTGGCTACAGAATTCCTCCGGTAGCCAACATTACAGACGTAAAGTCCTCTAGATTCACGAGATCTTACATATGGCGTTGCTGGCATGTGAATGTTTAATTACACACCAACCCTCATGATACCATAGACAAACATAATAATGGTAATAATAATAACAATAATATTATTATTAATAAAGAATATCCCTTACCTGAAACTTTGTTCAATTGTAAGATACCACAGCACAAAATTATCTAGTCTATGACGCACTTCTTCTACAAGTGATTCACAGCTCAGCTCTTTCCGCAATAATGATAATAAGCGGATTGTTGACGGTAATATATACAAATACAACAATGCCGTCGAAAACTGTGACGTAACAATTAGTAAAGGAATGGAGTGCAATACGGTTTATTCAGGCGTGCATAAGAAACGAGAAAAGAGCCTTATGGCACGCCCAACCAACATTGTTGCAGGTGTGGGTTAGAAATTCGAATACATTTCTTACATTGTTGTTTCTATTTTAGAAAATAGAAAGTGCTTATCTTATATAAGAATTATTAAGAAATCTGTGACGTGGACGTCGTGGTCTCTTACAATTGAACAAAGTTTGAGAAATCTGTGACGTGGACGTCGTGGTCTCTTACAATTGAACAAAGTTTGAGAAATCTGTGACGTGGACGTCGTGGTCTCTTACAATTGAACAAAGTTTGAGAGACATGGAAGGAGGTGAGCTGGCCTTTCTGAAGGCCCACCTCCCTGAAGTGTTCCAACAGGTCCAGAAGCAGATCCTGGACGCCATCGCGGCGGAAAAGCAAAGACAGCGGGCAGCAGTGGCAGCAGCATTAAATACAGCAGCTACGACCGTGGTCGGAGGGCCTACTCGAGCCAACACTGGCAAGAGGAAAGCCAAAGAGTTGGACTTGTCCAATTCGAGCGGTTCGTTGGAACCCGCATCCAGGCGCCCGACGCCCGGGCCACTGTCCGGAGCCCAGTCACCTTCTCTGCCGGCACCGGCAAAAGTTCATCGGCCCGATGG